ATCTTCAGGGCCACGGGCGCGCTCCACAGCAGTATGTGCTTCTTACAGATTAAAGATCCTGGGCTGAAGTCGCTTCCGGATTATCCCCTTGGCTGGGGCACAGAGTGCGCGTTTTCCCCTCCACACACGAGGATGAGAGTTTCCTTCCAACACAGACACAGGCAGCGGAGCATGCCTGGCCAAATAGCCCAGCAGTTGACTGATTATCTTCTGTATGGCTGCCTCTTTTCTGCCATGCACATCTTCTCTCTCATTCCTCTCTGTACAAATTCCCTCTGAATGTTTTGGATTTCTCGCCATGTCAAGTCGCAACTTTCAGTTTTTGTCTCTACTCAGTCACCCATGGCACGGACCTGCGTGGTTAGAAGGGAAACTACCAAAGCCCAGCAGTCGGCTTCATCAGCAGCTGTCACTTCCTCCAGGGAATGCCAGCCCATCTCCCTGCAGTCAGGGTTCACAAACAGTAGGGTCATTTGTCTATAGCCCAGGTCAGAGCCATTAAGCTCCATGATTCCAAGGTTAGACCCTTGGAAAACAATGGTGCTAAGCAAACCCCAGGTTCACTGGCTAAAGGTTTTGCATTAGAAGAGCATTTGAGGTGCTTCCTCTGGTAATTTGGAAGGGGTCCCTTTTCTCATCAGCATCTGGGCCATAGGACACCACAAACGTGCAGCTCCACACCGCTGGGCATCAGGTGTGTGCGCAACAGCAGCAAGGGAAGGAGCAGCAGAGGAGGGAAGGCTGCTACCCTGACCTGAGCAACAGCTCATTAGACAACTGGAATGCCATGCTTAATTCTCCTGGGGCTGGTTGTCCTACCATTCCAAAATTTCACAAAGGGCCAGCTGCATGCCCACCCCAGTGGTGCACAATAACAAACGATGGTATGCATGGGCACCCCGAGCAGCCAGGGATGGTTGCCGGACTCTATGCAGTAACCAGAGAGTTCTAACCAGACCCTTGGTAGGTGGGGCACAAATGCAGTAGGGGTACAGTGCTGTCTCTGCCTTTACAGGCAGGCAGCCTCACAGCCAAACTGAACCCAAAGGGAAGTCACCTGGGGTGTAGCCAAATAACAATTCTCTCATAGGGAGCTTTTTAGGGTGGGAAGACACAGTGACACCCCAAAAAGAAGGCAGTACAGTGCAGGTCAAAAGGCAGGCCTGCCTGCGATTGACAGCTCTGTCCCAAAGGGCCTTTGTCATATCAGAGAACCAGTTAGTCAGGCAAGAACAATTAGTTAATAACTAGATGAACCACATCTTAGATGGTGACCTTGTTCTTGGACGGGCCATCCTGTTCATTATGACAACTGTATTAACTGCCTCCTATTCACTCAGTTGGTGGTGGGATTCCCTCTTGGTTTCAGAGGTAAAAGAGTCCATTATACTAGGCCTTAATTTCAGGCCACAGTTACTATAATTTAAAATATTTCAAAGACTATAAAAACATCTCAAATGTTCACTAATGTTGATTATATTTTCAGTGCAGAAACAGAAACAAAGACCTTAATATAGAAACAAGATATTATGAAGAGAGGTAAGAAATTTATGATACTTCCAAAAAAGATAATAAGGCTTAAAAAGCAGAAAAGCTATAACTGAAAATAGGTTTAGTGGTTGTCAGTGTAAGATTTCTGAGAATGCATTCTGCCTCCCACCATGGGAAAACTGGTACCGAATAATGTGAGTTTTTAATTTTGTAAGTATAGAAGAAAGCACCTTCACAGATTCACCTACATTGCTATATGCAGGCAGCGTTGTTTATTTAATACACTTTATTTTTTAGAGTAGTTTTAAGGTTACAGAAGAATTGAGCAGAAAGTAGAGTTCCTATATACCCCTTCACTTCCACCCACTGCTACAGTCCCGTTATTCCCATCTTGTGTTAGTGTGGCACATATGTTACAACTGATGAGACAATACGATACATTATGACTAACTAAAGTCCACAGTCTACCTTAAGGTTTACCCTTTGTGTTTTACACTTTATGGGCTTTGACAAATGAATGACATGTATCTACCATTATAATATCCTACAGAATCGTGTCACTGTCCTAAAAATCCTCTACAATCCACCTATTCATCCTTCCCTGCCTTGTCCCAAACCCGTGGCCACCACTGATCTTTTTACTGTCCCCATATACTTGTGCTGTTATCAGAATCCATTTTAGACGGAAACCAAAGTGTAAAGCCTTTTCAGATTGGCTTTTTTCACTCAGCAATGTGCAAGTAAGGTTCCTCCATATCTTCTGTTACTTGAGAGCTCACTTCTTTTTACCACCCAATCACTGTACCTTGTAACCTTGTTATAATTGCTTACCAGTGTCAAGGTATTCTATTTTTGACTCCTCCGAATTTTCTACCTAAAGAATCATGTTATGTGTGAATATAGACAGTTTTATCTCTTCCTTCCAAATCCAAGTTTATTTCCTTTACTTGTCATACTGTGTTAGCGATGACTTCCAGAAGGAGGCTGAAAAAGAGTGGTCAAAGGGGCCTCCTTCCTCTTTATCTTAACTGGAAAAGCATCTAGTTTCTCACCATTAAGTACGATGTTAGTGATAGGGCTGTTGTAGATGTGCTTTAACAAGTTAAAGAAGTTCCCTGTATTTCTAGTATGCTGAGATTTCTTATTGTGAATGTGGGTTAAGATTTTGTGAAATGCTTTTCTGCACCTAGTAGTATGATCATATGACTATTTTCCTTTTGCCTGTTGATGTCATGAGTTACGTGAACTGATTATCAAATGTTGAACCAGGACTGCATGCCTGGAATAAACTCCACTTGGTCACGGTGTGAAGTTATATACAGTTGGATTCACTTTGTTAATGACTTGTTGAGGATTTCTGCATCTATGTTCCAAGACATAGAGTTCTGTCTGCAGTTTCCCTTTCTTGTAATGTCTGCCTGGTTTTGCTATTACAGCAATACTGGGCTCACGGAATGAGTTAGGAAGTATTTCTTCTGTTTTTACTTTTTGGAAGAGATTGTAGAGAACTGGTTATTTCTTCCTGAAGTGTTTGGTAGAATTCACCAGCAAACACATTTGGGCCTGACACTCTGATTTGGAAGATTAAGTATTAACTCAGTTTCTTTAACAGATAGATCTTTCTGTGAGTTTTGGCAGATTGTGTCTTTCAAGGAACTGGTCCATTTTATGTAGGTTATGAAAATTGTGGACACACGGTCATGCACAGTATTATTATCCTTTTAATGTGATGAAATCAGTTATGACTTTCTTTCATTTCTGGTATTAGCACCTAGTACTTCTCTTTTTCTTAGTTAATTTAGCTAATGTTTTATCAGTTTGACCTTCCCAAATAACTAACTTTTGGTTTTACTGATTTCCTCTATTTTGTTTTTGATTTCACTGATTTCTACTCTAATTATTATTTCTTTTGTTTCACTTACTCCGGATTTAATCAGCTCCTTATCCTAGTTTCCTAAGATGGAAGCTTAAGACTCTTTGTGCAAGTTAAGATCATTCATTTGTGTAACCTGGTTTATGTAATCTGACTGATGGTGTAATCTAGTATACCACCTTTATACCCTGTCTCTCAATAAAAGCCCCACTCTAGCTTCACTCTGGCTCTGCTCCAGTCTCAACCCACCTTCTCCTCAGAGTCAAAAATCTCCAAGGGTGCAGATCTGTCTCTGGGTACACTGGCCTCTGCCTTAGAGGGCAGTTACTTACAGAAGGTTTGTACAAAATTTAGGCTGAGGACTAGAGAACTCACATATGTACACTCAAGGCACCTCCTGGCTTGACATGGACCATGGGTGAACAGGGAAAATGAGACTAGGGACTAGATATCCCTCTGTACTGAACACATTCTATTTGCCACTTTGTTATTTTGATTTATACATTCTAAATGGTTATGTATTACCTCTGTGGGCCTCCTTTTACAAGGCTGCTCAGCCCTTATACACATGGGAGATGTGCCTGATACAGTAACAAATGCTAAATTAGGAGTGTCTGTTCTCTGTTCACAACTATATTAAGTTGCATTATGCAAATGAAGCACATATGGTTTATTATATAAAGAACCATATGTGGATACATAAGTCCTGTAAACTTAAGGGACACTTCACATAAGCATTTAAGGCTGTGACCCTAATTATTCAATTTAACTCTGCTTTTTAAAAGCTTCACATTCATGATTGCCAGGATGAGGGCTGCAGAAACAGTATGATTATTAACACGAGGGAACTTCTCGTGATGAAATCCTGATTCCTTTGTAATCCTAATGCAACAGAGACTCCAGATACCTTTTTGATTTTGTAACCTGTGTTGATGGTTACTCAAACTATTAAGTGATAAAATTTCACAGAACTACACTGTACACACAAAGTGCTTGTAAAAACTGTTGAAGTAGAAATAATGACTATATGTGACTTAGTACTGTGGTACCATCAATTTCCTGTGCTTGACAATATATACCGTGGTTGTGGAAGACAGCATTAGAGGAAGCTTGATGGAGGGCATGTGAGAATTCTATGTCTGACTGCAACTTGTCTATTTTTTCATTTTACTACTTTTTTTAATTTTTTTTGGTTTTTAAAGCTTCACATGGCACAATATACATCTATAAATTACAACTTTTTGTTTCCTAAAGATAAATATGGCATCAAAACCCAAAACACGACTTCTGTTATATTACTTCTAAAAATAATCTTTAAGTTATATACCTCAGATTGAAAGCTTTCTCTTTAATATAAATTCTGACGTAACCTAGTATTTTTGCTAAAAAAAAAAATTGTTGTAAATAAAAAAATCTGCAATATTTTATACCAGTATTTGCTTGGTGACATTCAATGGAATGTTACTTAACAAGACTGTCCTGCATTTGTTGCAGTCTACTTTGGAGTAAAATAAGGCCAGTTTGTATGGAAGAAGGTTCCCGAACATTCAGGATATCCTGTCAACAGAGCTTCCGCCAGTGTGAATTCTTGTATAATGGGTGCTGAACTGCAGCTCGACATTCCTAACATCCACTTCAATCATAAGGTTTTTCTCCTGCGTGTGTTCTCTGATGTACAATGAGGTTTGACTTCTGAGAGAAGGTTTTTCCACATGTGTTACATTCATAGGGCTTCTCCCCCGTGTGTGATCTCTGATGTTTAGCAAGGTCCGATTTACGGTAAAAAATTTTCCCACATTCATTACATTGACAAGATTTCTCTCCTGTGTGAGCCCTGTGATGCACTGTGAGGGATGATTTGTGACTGAAGGATTTTCCACATTCATTACATTCATAGGGTTTCTCCCCTGTGTGTTTTCTCTGATGTAAAATAAGTCCTGACTTCACACAGAAAGATTTTCCACATTCATTACATTTATAGGGCTTTTCTTCTGTATGAGTTCTCTGGTGGACAATTAAGGCTGACTTATGACAGAAAGCCTTTCCACATTCATTACACTCATAGGGTTTCTCACCTATGTGAATTCTCTGGTGCTGAGTGAGCTGAGACTTCTGGCAGAAGGTTTTCCCACATTCGTTACACTCATAGGGTTTCTCCCCTGTGTGTGTTCTATTATGTTTAGTTAGGTATGATTTATTATAGAAGATTTTCCCACATTCGTGACATTCAAAGGGCTTCTCCCCTGTATGAGTCCTATAATGTTGAGAGAGGGTAGACTTATGGCTGAAGAATTTCCCACATTCAGGACATGCAAAGGGCTTCTCCCCTGTGTGAGTTCTCTGATGTACTGTGAGGTCAGACTTCAAGCAGAAGGTTTTCCCACATTCATAACATTCGTAAGGTTTCAACCCTGTATGAATGATCTGATGCCTGGTGAGTACTGACTTGTGGTAGAAAGTTTTCCCACATGCATTACATTCGTAGGGTTTATCCCCTATGTGAGTTCTCTGATGTTGTGTAAGGTGTGACTTCTGACAGAAAGATTTCCCACAGTCAGGACATTCAAAGGGTTTCTCACCTGTATGAGTTCTCTGATGCACTGTAAGGTGTGAATTCATACAGAAGGATTTCCCACATTCATAGCATTCATAGGGTTTCAGCCCTGTGTGTGTTCTCTGGTGTTTAGTGAGGTCTGACTTCTGGTAAAACGTTTTCCCACATGCATTACACTGATAGGGTTTCTCCCCTGTATGTGTTCTCTGGTGTAACGTGAGGGCTGACTTGTGGCTGAAGGCTTTCCCACATTCACTGCACACATAGGGTTTCTCCCCTGTGTGTGACCTCTGATGTTTAGTGAGGTTTGACTTCTCCCAGAAAGTTTTTCCACATTCATTACACTGAAAGCGTTTCTCTCCTGTGTGTATCCTCTGATGTCGAGTGAGGTGGGATTTCTCCCAAAACGCTCTCCCACATTCATTACATTCAAAGTGTTTTTCTCCTTTATGAGTTTTAAGTTGTGAAAGGCATAAATTCCTCCTAAAATTATTCCCACTTTCATTACATTCATAGTGTTTCATATGTGCCCCATGATGTTTCAAAAGGGTAGACTTCACACGTAAGGATTTTCCACAACCACTAAATCCATAGTGATTTTCCTTTGAGGAATTTATCTGATGGAATAAGAAGGATTTATCAAAGAAGGTTCTCCCATATTCATTACATTCACAGTCATTCCCTTCTGCAATCTCTTTCTTGTATGTACTGAATATTGCCTTTTCAAGGAAGGTTTCTTGATAAATGTTATGATCAAAATTTTGCTCTAAAGTTTGAATCTTCTCATGATGAACAGGGTCCTCATCATGACTGAAAGTTTTCCCATTTTTAAAAAATTCACTTTTCTCTCTAGTATGAGTTTTCTCGTGTTTAATACTGAGTAGCAATTTTCCACAGGCATTAAATTCATCAGTCTTTTTTCCTAAATAGTTTTTCTTATTGATAAACAATTCTGAAATACAGTTGAAACTCACTCCACATGAGTCACACTGACAGAGGGTTTTTCTGGAAGGAAAAGAATTTGTGTCCAAGTTATGTGGTTTTCCTACTACGTTACCTCGTTCTTCAGTTAGCATTTTATTATTGATGAATGCAACTTCCCACACATGTTTCGGCTGGTTTTCGTGGCTCCTTTCTTTCTTGTGATCAGTTTTCCAGATTTCTAAAAATAAGAAAAATTAACCTTACATATGAATAGTAACACATTTTTTATGGAATGCAATGTATATACAAATGCCCTATGTTAGTTAGAGCTGATTTGGATTTCTTGTCTAGTCCAGAGAAGAAAATAACTGTAGGTGCATATTCTTTCTATTCTTGAGTTTTGACATGAAAAACAAAAAATGAAAACTAGAAACAAAAAGCCTGGCATAGTGGGAAAAGGGAGCGGAAACTGGCTATTACAACACATACATCTGCATTCTGGTGTCTGATGAATAACAGCACCCGTTAAAATCTGAATGTGTCCATCTAGCCTCCAAAAAACTGTATGGATCAATATAAGGAGAGCAAATAAAATTACCTACAACAACCCATGACTTCAGCATAACCAGGACATACAAAATACTACTAACTTCAAATTGCCACTAAGGAAAGAAACATTTAAACACAGACAATAACTGATAATGAGCCCACATCCATTGAGAGTCAGCTAGAGACTGTGGCAACCATACATAAAGAAGAGACAGGGAACTCAGAGATGATTAAATACAAATGAAATCATTCCCAGAAAGGGGAAGCCCCACTACGAGTGGGAAAACACTGAGATGACATCTCAGTTCTGATACGTGATAGCCCAGACCACTGGGAACTCCAACAGAAGGGACTTGTAGTTAATGGGAACTGAGGATGCAAGCACTGATCCAGGTGAGGAATAAAACTGTAAGAAGGACAAAGTGATCTTAGAATAGACTTAAATTACAAGGAGCCAGTTATGAACTGAACTGTCCCTCTCCCAAATTCATATGGTGAAGCCCTAATCCCCAATGTGACTATATCTGGAGACAGAGGCAATTAAGGTTGAATTAGGTCATCAGTGTGTAGCACTAATCTGATAGGAACAGCATCCTTATTAGAAGCAGAAGAGACACCAACTTGCTTCTTCCCACTGTGTGCACAGAAAAAAAGCCATGCGAGGCTACAGCAAGAAGGTGCTGTCTACAAGCTGAAGAGACAGGGCTCACCAGAAACCAACCCTGCTGGCACCTTCCCCTTGGCCTTATAAACTCCAGAAGTGTGAGAAAACAAATTTCGGTTATTTAGGTCACCCAGTCTGTGGTGTTTTGTTATAGCAGTCCAGGCAGACTAACAGAGAGTCCAAAGAGAAAAGAGATTTCACTGAAATTTTAATAAATAGCCCTGAAAAAAGGCATGACAACAGAGCAGAAAGAATGACAATAAAACCAAAGAAAGAAGAACTGGTTCACAAAGAATATCCAGGATAAAGAAGGTAGTCTGCAAAATAAATAAAAATTTAAAAATAAAATTGTATGCATATATGTAGGATTATACTCTCTACAGAGAAAAAAAAAACAATGAATATTAAAAACCATAATATTGGGCGCCTGGGTGGCTCAGTCATTAAGCGTTTGCCTTTGGCTCAGATAATTATCTCAGGCTTCTGGGATCGAGCCCCGCATCGGGCTCCCTGCTCAGCGAGAAGTCTGCTTCTCCCTCTCACACTCTCCCTGCCTGTGTTTCCTCTCTTGCGCTCTTTCTCAAATAAATAAAATCTTTAAAAACAAAACAAACAAAAAGGAGCCATAATCTAAGAAAACTGCTGAAAAGGAGACCTCATCCACACAGGCTAAAGAACCACCACAAACCTGGGCAAAGCTGACCTGGAACAGTCTTCTCTAAGGCACACTCTAGTAAAACTACTAGACCTTAAAAATGAAGAAACATCCTTGGGGCAAAAAGACTAAATCTCAATAAACAAATAAAAATGTAGATTTGGCAATAGATTCTGTCACCAATAAACAAAGCAAGGCTCAGTGGAGGAACATTTTCAAGTTAAAAAAAAAAGTGGGAATCAAGGATTTGATAGGGAACACTGGCAGAAAAACTGAGCAGTGGATAATTTAATTGTAGGCCCAAGACCAAAAGAAAGTTGAGAACAAGAATAGAAGAATAATATATAAATGTTAGAGGCCCCTGGGTGGCTCAGTTGGTTAAGGGTCTACTTCCGGCTCAGGTCATGATCTCAGGGTCCTTGGATCGAGTCCCACATCGGGCTCCCTGCTCAGCAGGGAGTCTGCTTCTCCCTCCCCCTCTGCACCACCCCCACTCGTGCTCTCTTTCCTCTCACGTTCTTGCTCTCAAATAAATAAAATCTTTAAATACATACATACATATGTGTGTGTGTGTGTGTGTGTGTATATACACACACACACACACACACATATACATAAATGTTATATATTCTAGTGAAGCAGAAATAATGCAATTAGAAAACCTATAGGAAACAGGAATGAAAAGAAGAAATAAGAATAAGCTCAGAGATAGCCACATAAATAATAGCCTAAAGAATGTCACTAAAAGCTAAAAAATCAAATAGAGTTAAATAAGGAAATGGGCAACTAAGGCCAGTATAAAAAACTATTAGTGTAAAAGTAACTACAAGAACAAAACCATAAAAATTTAATTGACTCCCTCCAAAAAGAAAAAAAGACCAAACAGAATAATTCAGTAAATGTGATACACTCATTAAATGTAACAAAATGACAGAAATGAGACGAAACATGAATCATATTAATAAATATGAATGGGTTTAATTCATCAATTAACAAATGACTTCAAACTGTGTCACAAACAAAATCCAAATTGATGCTATAAAGGGGAAACATAATGATAAAAACTGACTCAAAAAAGCTAAAACCAAAGGGATGGGCCATATTATTCCAGACAAAGGGAAACAATAAGGAAGCAGAGATGCAATCTTGTTATCAGTAAGGACAAAAAAACCCCCCAAAACCCCACTTTACAAGGCTAAAATCCTCAACTTTCAATGTGAAAATCACAGTATGAATATCTAGAGTCCAAAAACCCTTGAAGCAGAACTCAGAAAAGCAAGGAAAAAATGAAATACACTATTCAAAAGAGTATTTCAAGAAAGATCAAAAAGGAAAAAGTTGGGGGTGTAGAAGACTTAATGACAACAACCAAGAAGACATATATCTTTATAATGTCAAAACTTGTAATAGAAAAGACACTTCCATCTCAAGGGTGCCTGAAACATTAAAAAAAAAAAAAAACTGATACAGGTAAAATGCTCAGGTAATGCTACAGTAAAACTAGAAATTATTAGGGAAGAATAAGCTTCCATTGGGACTTCAAAAACAAACAACTCTCTAGTAAAAACTGCTCTTTGATGAAAAAGGAAACAAACCAAAGCTGAAGTTCTAAACCAAAATAGTGAAAATATTACTTAGGAGTATATATGGGATACACACACTGATCAGAGATTTCATAGCATCAAATGTTTTGTATCAGTGACAAAGAATGAAAAATAAGTAAACCCTTGACTCAAAAAATTAAAAAAACTAGAAGAAAACAATAGTAATGTAAAAGAATGGAGTAGAAAGCACAAAGAGTGAAATAATAAAGATAAAAACAGATAAACACAAAAATAAATTTAAAATAATACAGATAAAAACTTTCTCTTCAGGGCGCCTGGGTGGCTCAGTTGTTAAGCGTCTGCCTTTGGCTCAGGTCATGATCCCAGGGTCCTGGGATCGAGCCCCGCATCGGGCTCCCTGCTCCAGGGGAAGCCTGCTTCTCCCTCTCCCACTCCCCCTGCTTGTGTTCCCTCTCTCACTGTGCCTCTGTCAAATAAATAAAATCTTAAAACAAAACAAAACAAAAAACCTTTCTCTTCATCTTTAAGGTCTACTAGTTTTATTAAAGGCGGTCTTTAGTGAACCATTCCACATCAGTTTTCCCAGGTTGCTGGTGGTCTCTGAATATGTGCGTCAGGTCTTCTTTCATTTCTGGATAGTTTACTTAGATTAGAAGTTAATGGAACAGAAACAGAAAAACAGTAGAACAAGAGTTAAGTCAAAAAAGCTGGTTCTTTGGAACCCCTGGCTGGCTCAGTCAGTGGAGCATGCAACTCTTGATCTTGGGGTTTTGAGTTCAGTCCCCACGTTTGGTGTAGAGATTACTTAAAAAATACATAAAATCTTTAAGAAACAAAAAAGCGGGTTCTTTGAAAAGATTAACAAAGAAAGCAAATCATTGACTACCCTAATCAACAAAAACAAGGGAAAGAAAGTTCAACTACCCAAACTGAGAAACAGTAAGGAGGAAACAATCACTGGAACAAGGTATGAAAAAAATCAAAAAGGCTATTTTTGCTCAACATGATACAGGTATGTTTGAAAGAAAAGTAGCAAATAATTTCCTAAGAAAATACACCTTATCGAAATTAAACTTGGTAGAGACAGAAAATGTAAACAGAATAATTTCCACATAAGAAACAAAGTATCAAGTTTGCGTGAGCCATAAAATAAAGCATTTCTGTGCTTTTCACCTACATTTACAAATTGTTAAATTTTTCCCATACTTGCCTTATCTTTCTCTATATAAAGTTTTCCTGACCATTAACTCTGTGGGTTAAATGCAAACATCATGATCTGTTATTTCAAATGTATCAGCATGTATCTCCTATGAGTTAAAGGCATGATCACCCTCAAGAACACTGTACGATGATACTACATCATCCATCATACAGTCCACTCAAGAAGAACAGTATCTTTGAAAATATCTATGTGCTTTTCAACTATACAAATCCCCTTCCTTCACTGCAAAGTCCTCCACCATCAAGGGGTATAGGTATCATGAAAATGGGTTTAATCAAAATTGTCTTTAAAGATTTTCCACATAGGTTCTGAAATTTGTTAATGTATCTCTGAGGTATGCCTGTAATATCTTTGTCTAGTTTTGGTATTAGCAAAATGCTAGCCTCAGAGACTGAATTAGTATAACCTTCTGGATTTTCTGGAAGAGTTTGGTAAAACTGGTATTATTCCATGTGTGGTAGAACTCACTAATGAAGTCCCTGTACTTGGGTTTTCTTCATGGAATGGTTATCTATTTCTCCTGAAGTGAGCTGGGATAGCTGTTGAAGGAAATTGTCCATTTTACCTAAATGGTTGAATTTAT